GGCGGGGGCAGGGGCTGGGGAGGGCCCGCGGCGGCGCCGCCACGCACCGTGCACTCCCGCACTTGGCTGTGGAAGTGCTGCTCCCGCGCGGACACCTCGTCCTGACCGTCCATCCTCCTTCATGCCCGCCGCCGCGCCGCCCGCGTCCGCGCGCTCCGCCGCACCATCGTCCGCCGACGCACGGGCTCGCACGGCCGCGCCGGGCCCGGGCCGCAGCGGGGTCTCGACACCGCCTCTTCAGCCGCCGCCTCAGCCGACAGGAGACGCCGCTCGAGCGGCGGAGGACAAGTGCCGCGGCGGGGGCGGGGCCGGCGGGGCGGGGCCGCGCGTCACGCGGAGGCGCCGTTGCGTCAGAGAAGCGCGCCTCGGCGTCCGGGAAGCCGGGCGGGTCGGGGGCGGAGCCTAGGGGTCTGGGCGGGGCCACGGGGCCGGGCGGGGCCTCGGCGGCCGGGGCGGGGTCGGTGATGTGCTGAGGTGACGGGGTGGCCCGCTGCGACCCCTGCTCGCCCGACCGGTCCGGGCGCGCTGCTCTAGTTCCCCACAGGAGTTGATTACTGATGGTGCCTGCCTGGTGCCCCTGCTCGGTGCTCAGTGCTCGGTGCGCGTAACGCGGCCTCGGGGTTCTGGACAGGAGGAGGCGGGGTCCCCGCGGAGGCTCGCTCGGCCGAGGGTGCGCAAGCTCCGAAAGCTGTGCCCCGCGCGCTCCGGGCGCCACCCGGCCTTTCCCGGCCGTCGAGGGCGTGGCTCCCACCTGCAAAACCGAGAGAGCCTCGGGCCGGCCGACCCAGCGCCAGCCTTTCAAGGGCACGTTTTTTTTGGAGCACCACCAAAGGTGCCAAAAACAATGACTAGTCCTCCCCCATTCCACATTATCATTGTTTCTGTTTTTGTGACCAAATTGAAATTTAAAGGAATATTTGCAATTTTGCTTTGTAGTTTATATGGCTACACAGAAGTTATTTAAATTGCCCTTGGATGTAGGTGTTGGGAGAACTCTGAGAACCTGAAGTTTGCACAAGCCATGTCCTGCTGCCTTAGGCTGATAATCATCCAGGAATGACTTCCACCTCATTCATTCAATTCAAAATTCAACTTTATTTTTTAAAATGTCTCACCCCTAAAGAAATAATGAAAGGTAAGGAGATAATCGAATCTGATTTTCTGACACACACATTCTAAAAGCAGGATTAAATGCCTTACCAAACTGACCTATATAATTCTCTCCAAATCAGAGAGTGAGCAGATCAGGTCTGAAAATGGGTGGCAGTTAGACGTGCAATGTTTCGGATCATTCTAATCCCACTACAACCATATAAAGCTTTTGAGTTTCTTTCATGCAGTTGTCTAAAGCGCTTATATGCCTTTTATCTTGGTTGTTTCCCAGTCTTTAGTACTTGCAACATTAAATCCAGGATGACTTCAAAAATGGCCACAAACTCCCCTCCCTGGCCTTCTCTTTGGCTCACTCCTCTGCCTTGGGGCTACTCCTCTCTTGCATCTGGACCTGACCATGGGGCTTGCACTAGCCAATAGGAAACCAGAGAATATGAAGCTGCTGATGGGCTTGTGCCCAACCAAGTCCGGCTCTTCTTGTGGCCCCAGCAGCCTCCAAGAGCCAGTGCCCAGGCAGACTGGAGAGGATGGCCCAGTCACCTCTGCCACCCCAACCACCCTTCTCTACATCCCTGTACAAGTTGTCCTGTGAGAAGCAGGGCATCACTCTAAGGACACTGGCTTTAACTCTGGGAGAGGTGAGCAGGCACCATGGGGTACCGACAATTGGACACAATCTGTTCTTTGGAAACTGCACAGCAGGTGAGGGTGAAGGGGGAAGAGAAACTACAGTAATTCAGAGCCTGAGGTGGGCAGACGCTGAATATGTTTTAAAGAAGAGCCTAAGACAGGATTCCCTACCATACAGATGTGGCTGTAAAGAGGGACAGCAAGAGGGCTCTGAGGAAGGAGTCTGGCTTTAGAACTGGAGGGGCAGAATTGCATCAACCAAGGGAGCAAAACACCAGTAGAACAAGCTTTGGGGAAGAGACCAGAGCTCCTAAATTGTGATGACACTCCCTGGTTCCCAAAACTTGCTGTAAGATATTCAGTTTTATTTCACATCCAAAGAGTGGTACTCACAATGAATGTTTTAGAAAATGGTCCATCTCCTTAATACCCAGGACATGCAAATTGAAACCTAAATGAAACTTTTCTTATTCATCAGGTAAGCAGATTTTTTAGTTTGACAGTATCCAGTGTTGGCAAGAATGTGGAGCAACAGAAATCCCCTGCGTTCCTGGTGGGGGTGTGAACCAACACAGCATCTGGAGAAAATAACTGTCTTTGCCAGTAAAGCTGACAATAGCAACCAGCTAATGCACTCCTGCCCAGACCCTAAAGACCCTACTGCACATGTGTACCAGGAAGTTGAACAAAAACCTTTGGCTGCACTGCTTGAAAAAGCCAAAGTAAATGTGGTGTATACACACAATGGAATATTACTCAGTCATAAAGAAGAATGAAATTATGGTATTTGCTTGTAATTGGATAGAACTTGAGAATATCATTGCTAAGTAAAATAAGCCAGTCTCAAAAAAACAAAGTCCAAATGTTTTCTCTGATATGCAGATGCTAACTCACAATAAGGCAGTGGGGGAATAGGGAAGAATAGAAGTAGTTTGGATTAGATTTAGGGGAATGAAGGGAAGGGAGGGGGAATGGGAATAAGAAAGACAGTAGAATGAATCAGACATTACTATCCTATGTGTATATATGATTACAGGATCAATGTAATCATCATGTACAACCAGAAGAATGAGAAGTTATATTCCACATGGGTATAATAGGTCAAAATGCATTCTACTATCATATAAAAAATAAATAAATTAGGGTGAAAAATTAATAAGAACTGCAAGCACCACTGTGGATGGATCTCTAAAACACAGTGTCGAGCAAAAGTGAGTCACAGGAGAAAGCTCACTGCCTTCCACTTGTAGAGGTTCAAAAACATGCAAAGCACAAAGACGGTCACTTAGGGAGACAAATGGGTCGTGGAATGTAAAGAAAAGCAGTGGACACTCTGAGACAGGAAGCCAGAGAAGGGGTTGTTGAGAGGCATTTGGGACTACAAAAAGATCAACAATGCTCTTTTGAAACTCAAGTGGGTAGCTCACAGCTCTGTGGTGTGTTGGTATTCTTTGCATCTTATGCATAATGTATGAACTTAATACTTAGCATTTTAATAAGCATCACCCTCTGGTAGCCTAAATCGTGGGTTCTCTATGTCAGCTTGGCTTATTGCTAAAGACAGCATCTTAGAGGGAAATAAACCCCAAGCAAGGATTCTGGAAACTAGACTGCAGTTGTTCCATGCATCAGCCTTTGAGGCTTCAGTTAAATCAAAGATGCCTGAGTTCCTTCCAGCACTGATATTCTGTTTCGGGACTTAGTCCATTTTCTGTTGTTAAAACAGAAGATCACAGAAGATCTCTATATAATGGAAAGAGATTTATTTTAGCTCAGGGTTCGGGGGAGAGTGGAAAGCCCCAGAGCATGGCATCAGAGAAAGTATTGGGCTAGTTCAACTCTGGAAAGCAGAATGACAAGCGACTTGTGCAGAAGAGCTGTCCCTGACAGCAGTCTGAGGAGGTCACTCCAAAGGGGAAAGTGGGACCTCAACATGGCCCACGTGGGTTCTTGACTTTTGTCTCTGAAAAGAATTTCAGGGCGCATCAGAAACAAAGCACAAGCAAAGATTTACTTAAAGACAGCAAAGATGTGCACACCTGAAGGTGGGGTGCCCAGGCCCCTCACTTCTCAGAGAAGACAAGACAAATGGCCAGCCCAGGGTAGCACTCTTTGTTTCTGGAAGAAATGTGCAGATTCTCAGGAAAGCTTCTTGACAATCAGGACCACTGGCAATCACTGTATTTTGGGGGTTCAAAATATTTCTCTTTGGTCAGTTATGAGCACATTTGAAGTCTTTGAATCTGATGACATTTAAATTAATTATGTTTTTGCTCTAATTGATCTGTTGCAAGTATACGCTGTGGGTTTTATTATCTGACGAAGAGCATGACGTCATGATGTTAGGTACAGGTCTCTGTCCACTAGGTTCTCTCTCCCCAAAAGCCCCCCTAGCTCAGAGAGCAAGAGAAGTTGAGGAGGTTAACCAAGGCTTTCTGACAAGCCTCCCTTGAGATTACCAGTCTTCTCCCTCAGGAGAACCCATGACCTTGAGAAAAGAGTCAGTACTCATGAGGACTTTACCCCGTGACCCACACACTTGCTGCTAGGCCCCACCTCCCCACATGGCCACCAGGCAGTCACATTTCCATTGGCTTTTCAGGGGGACAGGCCTGAGCACCCTCTTAAAACTGAATGTGGAAGCGTTCCACTCCAGCTGGTGTCTCTGGACGGTTTCACAGGCTAGATGGTGAAAAGACAGCCCCGAAGCGTCATCCCTAATATCCCCTGTCAGTCCACCCGAAGCACCGTGGGCCCTCCACCAAAGCACATCTCGATGCCGGCTGCTGCTCCCCACCTGCTCCTCCACTGTGATCTGGTCCAAACCCATCCCACCCATACATGGTCTCTAGCTGGTCTTCCTACCCCCTCATTCTCCCCTCTCCTGTTCCCTCCCTCATGATAAGCACTTGGATCAGAGGGGCCCTCCCCGACGGCCTCCCATCTTTATTAGCCTCTGACTCCTTACCAAGACCTATAGAGACCCTAGGACCTGTCCCATCCACCTCTCCAACCTTATCCCTGCCGCCCACACTGTGCTTGTCACTGCCCTCTGCCCAGGGAGCCATCCCCACTGCCTCCCCTCCTCCCTCTCCTCACGCATCACACAGGACAGGGCCTTGGAGCCATCTGGCAGGACCAGAGCTACAGCCGCACCCAAACAATTCCGCTATGCTCACCCCATCATTGATCCTTTTCAAAATAAAACCACGAAGTCACAGACACATGGCTGGCTTTCTGTCTGCACGGTCTGGACACAGCAATGTCTCATTTGCAGTTTTTCCAACACCGGGAGCTCAGTAAGTCTTTGTTGGATAAATAAGGCATTAAATATGTGGATGAGCTGGGCACAGTGGTACAGTCCTGTAATCCCAGTGGCTCGGGAGGCTGAGACAGAAGGATCACAAGTTCAAAGTCAACCTCAGCAAAAGCGAGGTGATAAATAACTGAGTGAGACCCTGTCTCTAAATAAAATACAAAATAGTGCTGG